TGCTAGCCATTTTTATATTCCCCAGAATCTTCTTGAGTATTTTATGGAATAAAGTTCAGTTACTTGGAAACAGTTTGATTCTTCTTGGTTTTGAATTTTATGATTTGTTAGCAGGATCTGGAACAGTGCTCAGCCTAGGAATAATTATTCTCCACTACTGAGGCAAGAGTTTCCTGAGAGCTCTATGCGATGGCCTGCTGATATGAATTTTTCCAGTATGGCTAGTGGAAATAGTCTCTGTTTCTGGCTCTGTGTGAACACCAGGCCTCGTGCCCTTCAGTCCTTACAAATGATTCTTTCTCTGGCTTTGAATAGTCTCCTCACACCCATTCCCTGGTGAGTACTCTGTTGACTTTTTGAGGGGGACCTTCTGTAGGTAACTGGGATTCTTTCCCTGTGCAGCTTTCTCCTCTCTGGTATCCCGTCCTATAAACTCTGCTGCCTTGGTCTCCTCAGACTCCACCAGGCTCTGCCTCAGTTCCCCCTCCCTGTGTTGCAGCCTGGAAACTCCCAAGGTAGTACGTCTGGGGAGTCCTAGGGCTCACCTCTCTGCTTCCTGTCTCTCAGGGACTGGTGTCCCTCATTACTCGATACCAGTATCTTGAAAACCATTGTTTTCTGGAATTTGTCTCATTTTGGTTCAGGCAGGAGGATGCATCTGATCCCCATGACTCCATCGAGATAAGAAGTGGAAGCTTTTTCTCAGCATCTTAAAAAATTCCTCTTCTACTTTTTCCGTGTGGTCTTTTGCCATCTCGACCCCCTGGTCTTGGTGTGTGTGTTGTTCTTCCTTCTCTGAAAGCCTTTAGGACCTTTTTTGTGTCTCGTTTTTCTGAGGCTTCTCAGTGATGTGCTTTCGTGGGGATATTTTTCATTCATCGTCCCATGTGCTTTGGGGATCCTCTCTCCTCCCTGATGCTTTTACCAAGTTATAAAAAGCAGTTCACACTTAAAAAATCAGGAGCTCGTCCTTGGTTCTGTGGTGTGAATCAGCCTCCTTTTCATTTGCTTCCTTCTCCACCAGCAGTTAAGATTCAGCTTTCCCTGCTCTTCTACATACTTTAGTTACCATTTATCCTTTTTCTGCCTTCCAAAATTCTGTTAACACCTCTAGTCTGATTTGACTCTTCTCTACTTGGGCCGTTGTGTTGCCGTCACTTCAGTAGGATTAGGGAGGGAGTGGAGATCGGTACAAAAGTGCTGTGGGCTGCATTTATACAGATGTCCCTTGTACATGTGCACACAAAACCCACGTAGAGGAAAGGAGCCAGAGGGACCCACAGGCACACAGAGCAGGACAGGGAAGAGTCGACACAGATCAGCAGGTGGAGGAAGAGCTGTTTGCTGGGGATGACCACAGAGGGTTGCAGCGAGTCTTGGGTTCCCCTGTTGATGAGGGCAATGCTGGCTGAGGGCTGGCTCCTGCGGGGAGGGGTGCTGGGGGTTGAGCACTGGATAGCTGTCCTCGGCAATACCACCAGCCCCAGTAAGTCTCTGCCCTGATACTTAGGCTCCTCTGCCTTCACATGGAGCTTGAGCAGGAACCTGTTGTTTCAGGAGCCGGTGACCTTTGAAGACGTGGCTGTGTACTTTACCCAGAATGAATGGGGCATCCTGGCCCCTGCACAGAGGGCCCTGTACAGGGAGGTGATGCTGGAGAATTACGCAAACGTGGCTTCCCTGGGTATGACATTTCTTCTCCCTGCTGTTGTCTGCCTCTGCCCTTTAAGCATCCTGGCTTCTTTCTTCCTTAGACTCCCTTGTGGGCAGTTGCTCTGAAGGCTGAGCTCCCCAGAGGCTAGTGGGTGGGACGAGCCTTGGGTTCCTAGGTGTTGAAATCTCTGTCCCTCCAATCCTGGGAAGGACTCTGTCCCACATGTGGAGGGAATAATGAAAGCTCTCAGGAGCTCAGCAGAGCCTCGGCCTCTGTCTTCAATTTCTCTGAATATTTGGGACCTGAATAGAGGATTATTCCAGGACTCTGCCTGGCACTGTGGGAATTTCCTCTCCTCTAAGATGCACAGGCTGACTTCACTTTGTCTCTCCCTCCCTGGTTCAGTGCAGGAAGACAAAGACAGGTGAGAGGGGAACCTGCTTCATGATTCCCTTTATCTTTCTCTTCTTGTTTCTTTCTCCCTGGGCAGCTTTTTCGTTCACCAGACCTGTTCTGGTCTCTCAGCTGGAGCGAGGGGAACGGCCATGGGGCCTTGATCCCTGGGAAGCTGTGGGCAGGGAGGCCCTTGGAGGAGTCTGTCTGGGTAAGCATGAGACCCTCCCGTTTTTGGCCTGCTTTCTTGTTTTCGTATTTCACTGTGTACAAAGCGTTTCTTCTCTTGTGAGACTGTTTTCATTCCTCTGGAATCACTACATGTGATTCTCCACATTCACAGCGGTCGCCTCCCTCAAATGAGGAAGGGCCATTCTCTTTCAAGAAAGGCAAGGCCGCAGGCTTTCTTTGCATGTTCTTGTTTGCCTCCACCTCACCCTCTGCTAAATGACACCATCTGAGCAGCTCTTTTCAGCCCTGTCACTTGGAAACATTTTATTTTTCCAACAGTTTATTTTGTGCAGGGATGAGGATGTCAACCACCTTACAAGGAAAATAGACTTCCGAGGGCCTTTCTGGCCATCCACGTATTGACAGAGCATGTTATTTCCATGGGAAATTGAAGTCTGAGTTCCCAAACACTGACTTGGCACATTTAAAAATTTTATTTTTATGATGGAAATTTCCACTCATATGCAGACACCAGCCAAGTTCACCCTACATATCCCTCACCTCAGTGGTCACCAATATCCTGCCACTCTTGTTTTATCTTTCCCTCGTGGACACCTCAAAATAAATTTTTTAAAACAGACGAATGTTTGAAGCAAAACTTCTAAGTTTGATTGACATAAGAATTAAAAATAACACAGTGTATATATGTATATATATTTTGCCATTGTTATTCTGCTTCACCTCTTCTCTGCCTATTAAAATTTCCTGTGCTCTTCAGAATCTTTACAGAGAATGCCCATTAATAATGCACATTGCCCCACCCCTGCCCCAGCCTTGTGTGCCTTTTTTGGATGTGACCCCAAGACTTCAGGTTATCTGGGTAAAACATATTTTCTAAACTGTTTGTTTGTAAACACATGAGGTTTTTGCCCTGGCCTGGAACTCATGATTATATTAGCCTGCAAAAGGCCTCAGTAACAGAGAGAAAATAACCTTTAGGTTTTCCTTTTTGGTTAGTGTAGGATTTCACATTCCATACTGTTGTATTAAACTCTATACACATCCTATATAGCCTTTTAGAAAAAAGGACAAGAATCACTACTTGGCCATCTCTGCAAGTGATGATCATTCTTGGAAGGGTTCTTCACTTACCCAGTGCTCCTTTATTTCAGAGGCAAGCCTGCACTCTGTCCCCTTTCCTTCTGGATGCCATGGTGTTGGCCCTGCCTGATCCCCTCAGCTGCAGCATAGGAGCCTGCTGCTTTACTAGAGCCAACTTGATGACAGATATCAGTTCTCTTTCAAAGATTATGATGTAGATGATGTTCTTAAAAATAAGCAGCTCTTAAGGAATTTCAGCCTGTGGGACCCTTTGTTGTACTTGAGCTGCCCGACTGCCCTTTCTTCTTCAATCTCTGTGGTCTTGCTCTCACCTCGGCCACGCCATTTATCACTTCTTTATATCCACTCTGGTCCATCCCACTTACTGGGGAGAAAGCTATTGGTCCTTTTGCCCTAGTTAACAGTCTCTGTGGCTTTCCAGTCCTCACACTCTTCACAGGAACACCCCTGGCCTCGCCGCTCTCTCTCCCGTGGAGTCTTCCACTTGGGGGGCTCTGCTGTGTGGTGATCTTTGGGAGCCATTGGTGTACACACTGGAAAATATCCACGTACTCAGGGCAAATCAGAGCCTCCTGATTTCATTTCCCTTTATTACAAGTATTTTCTTTTTGTGATGTCAGAGGCTGACACGGGTATTTTCTTTTTGTGATATCAGTGGGGGAGATCAGAACTGACAAGGAAGAATCAACTCCTCAGGAGCACATTTCCAAAGGAGTGGAGTCCCACAGACTGACAGTCGGAGGGCCGCTGGGGAACATGCCCCAGCACCTGGACTTTGGGAGCCGCCGGGAGCAGCGGCACAGCCAATGGATAGTTAAGAAGACAGAGTCAAAGAGGAGAGATTACACAGATGCGTCAACCAGGCATCAGGAGGCCTGGGCCGTCGAGAGCGGGAGAAGCGTGAGAAATGGGGAGAAAACATTAGTGTTAGCCTACAACTCTCTCCTAACCAGACAATTCCTAGTGATCGGATATCTTATAAATGTGGAAAATGTGACAGAGACTTCACTCGAATGGCAGACTTCCACCGACATCAGAGCCGTCACACTGGTGAAAAGTCTTTTGAATGCAAAGACTGCGGAAAAGACTTCAGGTATAACTCCTTACTTCTCCGGCATCAGATAACCCACACTGGAAAGAAACCATTTAAATGCAAAGAATGCGGGAAGGGTCTGAGTTCAGACACAGCCTTGATTCAGCATCAGAGAATCCATACTGGAGAAAAGCCCTACGAGTGTCAGGAGTGTGGCAAGGCCTTTAGCAGCAGCTCTGTCTTCCTCCAGCACCAGAGGTTCCACACTGGGGAGAAACTCCATGAATGCAATGAATGCTGGAAAACTTTCAGCTGTAGCTCAAGTTTCATCGTCCACCAGCGAATGCACACCGGGGAGAAACCCTATGAATGTAAAGAGTGTGGGAAGCGATTAAGTTCCAACACAGCCCTGACTCAGCATCAGCGAATCCACACCGGGGAGAAACCTTTTGAATGTAAGGAGTGTGGGAAGGCCTTCAATCAGAAAATCACCCTGGTTCAGCACGAGCGCGTCCACACTGGCGAGAAACCTTACGAGTGTAAGGTGTGTGGGAAAACCTTTAGCTGGTGTGGAAGATTCATTCTGCATCAGAAATTGCACACACAGAAGACATCTGTCCAGGAGTAACACAATCCACAGCTAGCCTCGTGGTGCCTCTTCTTGTTTCTACCCATTTTCATGCTTTTTAGCAGTGTCATCTCTGTCTTTCCTGAACTGTGCTCATTCTTAACCGTCTGCTGCTTCTCCTATGCGTCTGCATAACTGCAATGCCTACTTCTCTGCCTATCCCACTAGGATGTTTCATTCAGACTCTCAGCTTCCACCGTGAAACCTTCCTCAAGTTCTCTGAGCCCTTGTTTCCCCAAAATGAACTCTGTTTGCGATTAGAAAAGATAAAAAACAAACCCCCAAACTTACGAACATCAAAGAAAAGTTTCCAGATTGAAAGGATACACCAAGTGCCCAGCAAGCTGGACTAGGGGGAACCTCCATCAGAGAACATCACTGTGAATGATCAAAACATCAGGTTTAAAGAGGAGATGCTAAAATGTTTCTAGAGAGAGAAAATAAAAGATCAGGAGCAAGAATGGCATTGGGTTTCTCAACAGCAACATTGCACGTTAGACGACAATGGTGTATGCCTTCAAAATTCTGAGGAAAAATGATTTCCACCAGAATTTTATACTCTCAAGTGTGAGTGTAGAATGAAGGCATTTCAGACCTTGTAGATCTTAAAACTTTATCTCCCATACATCCTTTCTCAGATGTGCAACACTAAACAAAGGGTAAACCGGGAGGGAAAAAAGACAGATATATGCATTCTATATTACAATCTGAACATTGTAAGTGTCCTAAACTCAAAAGCAAAGGGGCCCTGTCTGTGTGGAGCCATCTGCATCTTGGAGGACATTCTTAATAGGGTGCAGACTTTCAGAGACCTCCCTCAGATGCAGGGCCCACCCTCACTACTTCTGGCTCTGCAGTGACTCTTCATACTCAGTTGCAGTCTGTGCCTTTGCAAAAGCTGGGATGTCTGTACTATACCCTTTGAGTCAGATGCAAGGGACTATTTGTCTTAAATTTGTTCATTTCATTACTGTTCCAAGTGACCTCACATCAGCAAAGATTTCCTTGTAACTTCATCTAGTTATTTCTCATGATGGTGAAAGAAGGTACTATTATTTTCTATTACCTGTGGATACAAGGGAAGAAGTAAGTGTGTTCTGTTGCGGCATCCACGTATAAAGCAGCTTGACTTTGCCCACTGCAGGAAGCAGAAGGTAGTGGTTAGTCATTCGGAGCCAGGCTGACTTTGGGATGAACCCAGGCATGTGACCTTGGTTAAGTTACGGGAACTCTGCACTAATTTCCTTTTCTGTAAAATTGGGAGGACCATCTACCTCATAGGTTTGTGTTGAGGATCAACTGCATTAATACATAAAGAAGTGCTTAGAACAGCGAATGGAGCATAATAAACAGAAGTGTTTCGTATTATCATCATGTCATTGATGAGTTTTGAGTTATCACATATATACCAGTGAAACAGTCACCACAATTGAGGTAAGAAACACAGCCATAACCCCCAAAACTTTGTTTATGCCCCTTGGTAATCCCTCTCTCCTGGCTCATTCCAGGCAACTACTGATCTGCCTTCTGTCACTTTGGATTAGCTTTCCTTTCCTAGGATTTTATACACATGCTGTCACACTATACGTACTCTTCTCTTTGGTCTAGTGTCTTACTCAGCAGAATTGTTTTGAGATTCATCCATGTCGCATACATCACTGGTTCGTTCCTCTCTATTGCAGAGTCATAGTCTACTATGGCTGTACCACCATCTGTTTGTCCATTCACCTCTTGATGGGCATTTAGGCTATGTCCAGTTTTGGGTTATTGCAAATAAAGCTGCTATGAGCATTTGGGTTCAACTCTTTGTAAGGATGTGTGCTTCTGTTTCTCTTAGGTAAACACCAGGAATGGAATGGCTGAGTTATACGGTAGGTGTATATTTAACTTTTTCAGTATCTTCAAACTGTTCTACAAAGAAGTTGTCACTCTGCATTCCTACCAGCATTGTGTGAAAGTTCCACTTCTAATATATCTTTGTCTACACTCAAAAAGATTGTCAGTGTTTTAAATTTTAGCTATTATAGTAAGTGCCTGACACTATCTCATTAAGGTTTTAATTTGCTTTCCCTAATGACTAATGATGTTGAGCATATTTTCATGTGCTTACTTGCCTTCCACTAAGTCTTCTTTGGTTAAGTCTCCGTTTTTATCTTTCGCCTATGTTTTTACTGGGTTTTCTTTTTATTGATCTCTGAGAGGTCTTTATTATAGATGCAAGTCCTTTTTTAGGTATGTGATTCCCAAACATTTTCTCCCAGCCTGTGTTTTGTCTTTTCATTCTCTTAATAATATTTTTCTGAAGCACAGAAGATTTTAAAATTGATAAGGTCTAATGTATCATTTTGTTCTTCTGTGGATTATGCTTTTAGTGTCATATTTAAGAAATCTTTGCCTCACCCAAGTTTTTTTTCCTATTTTTCCTTCTAGAAGTATTATAGTTTTAGATTTTACATTTAGTTCTGTCATCCATTTTGAACTAAACTTTGTATAGGGTGTGAGGTATGGGTCTAAGTTTCTTCCTCCCTCTTTCTCTCCCTCCTTTTTAAAATGGGTAACCTACTGCAGCACCATTGTTCATATATGTGTGGGTCTGATTCTAGATTCTATTTTGTTCCATTGATCTATCTATTGTCCATCTTGATGCCGTTAACACCCTGCATTAATTATGGTAGTTTTCGAAGTGTTGAAGTTATACAGTGTTAGTCCTCCTACTTTGCTCTTTGCCGAAGTTGTTTTGGCCATTCCAGGTCCTTTGCATTTCCATATGAATTTTAGAATCAATTTGTCAATTTCTACAAAGTATATCCTGGGATTCTGAATGAAATTGTATTGAACCTATAGATTAATTTTAGTATAACTGGAATCTTAAGTATATATAGTCTTTTAACTCATGAACATGGTAAATATCTCTTTTTAGGTCTTTTATTAATTTCTCTGGGCAATGTTTTATAGTTTTTACAGTATAGGTTTTTCACACATTTTCTCAGATGTATGTGTATTTCATATTTTTGATGCTATTATAAATAATAAATTTCCAACCTTAACTCTTGGTATGTAGAAATATAATTGATTTTTGTATTTTGACCTTGTATCCTGCAACCTTGCACAACTCACTTACTAGTTCTAGTAACATTTCATAGATTCCATAGGATTTTCTGACCTTGAGAATCATCTTCACAAATAACAATTTTACTTCTTCCTTTCCAGTTCTGCATGCATTTTCTTTCTTTTTCTTGTCCTTTTGTACTGGCTAGTGGCTAGGGGTGGAGTGTTTTTTAAGGAGAGCCAGTCTCTGGCATTGGCCAGGTGAAGGACATCTAGCTCCAGACTTGAATTTTGCTGAAACTTGAACAGACTCCCTAACAGCTGCAAAGGTCCAAGTCTCTTATCTCTCTCTCTTGGTTCACCTTGTCATCTAGCTGCCTCTGGGTCAGCACCACCTGAACCCTGTCCCTCTGCTGAGACTGTTTGGGGAAAGAATGCGCCCCTTGTAGCATGCTGCCAGTTTTCTTCTCCAGCTCCCCCTGATGTCAGTCATCCTCCCAGTTAGGGGGTTTTATTTGGGCCTACCAAAGCTTCCTGATTTCTTCTCCCTGCACCATGATACCAAAGAGAAATTGCATGTCCAGTTTTGTTTCCCTTCAGATTAGTCCTAATTGTAATAACTGGCTGATGATGTTTTACAGAGCTTGTGGTGTACATGTGCATATGTGTATTGCATCTGTACACATGTGCCTGTCTCTGTAGTCTCATCATAGGGGTTCATTCTGATAGGTTTAGAGAGGAGGCAGTATGCACATGTAAGTACTCATCATGCTGTTGTTCCTGGAAATTTAATTCTATTTAAAACAATTGATTTGCATAAACTTTACCATAAAAATAGTACAGGTTTTATAAAATGAACCATTTCTATGATAGGTAAAATCTCTGTGTCAGGCAGCCTCCACAGTGGTCCTTAGTGATTCTCATCCTGGCATTCATGCCCTCATGCCTTTTGCTCAACACTGAATCATGACTGGCCTGTGATGATAGTATGTTGAGACAGTGATGGGACATGACTTCCAAAGCTAGGTCATAAATGACATTGAAATTATCCTCAGCCTCTTGGATTGCTTACCTTGGGTAGTAGTCTGTCACCACGTGGTGAGGACACTTAGGCATGTGCAGATACCCATGTGGGAAGGGATTGAGGTTTCACACCAATAACTAGTACCAACTTGCCAGCCATGTGAGTGAGCTATGAGGAAGGCAGATCATCCAGCCTCAGTCCAGCTTTCAGATGAGTGCAGCCCCAGGTGATACCTGACTGTATCCTCATGAGAGATCCCAAGCTAGTCCCATCCAGCCAAGCCACTCTTGAGTTTCTAATCTACAGAGACTTTGAGAGACAATCAGTGTGTATTGTTTTCAGCCGCAAAGTTTTGGGGTGATCTGTAATGTATCTAATGTAGTATCTAACGTTGCAGTAACCCAATGTACTCTTTATGGTTAAAACTTCTTTATACTCTAGTTGGTCAATAACTAAGTCCAATTTGTATGAAAGGAGTAACAAACTCCTGGGATAGTCATATTCAGATATCCGGGGTTCTTTTATCTTCTAGCAGTGGGAGGCCAATTCCCTTTTTTAGCTCTGGAGTGCTTGGTGAGTAGGAGCCCTATGTCTGAAACTGTGTTCAGCAGACCTATCACAGTGGTCAAAGGAAAAAAGTCTGTTCATGTTGGCAGCCACATTGGCAAGAAGTGGTCACGGGTGGGAATAAGGCTGCTGTTGACCCGTTGCTTTTCAGAAGCATCATCACGTAGTGAGGAACTTGCTAATCGGTTGTTGTCCAGTGGGTAGGACTGTCACTGATTGGCTGACTTTCAAGGGTGTTTTTCACTGATTGGCTCATGTTCTGAAGCTTGAGGCTGCCATTGGTTTGATAATTTTCTGCAGCATAGTTAAGGGAGGAGTCACCAAAGTGAGAATGTCACTCATTGGCTGATTTTCAGAGCATGTGTGTTGACCTGAAGTTAGGTAAACTAAGGGCAGTTACTTGTTTGTGACTTGGGACCTTGGTCAAATAAGTCTTTTCCTTTAATCTAAAAATCAGTACTTTTAATTTTTAATTCTCGCCGCCTCCCCCCTTTTTTTCTGCCCTCAGCCAAACCTGCAGGAGAGACTGTAAGGGATTAACCAGATCTTTATTTGTGGAGGTATGATTTTGTTTTTAAGTCAGTGTTGAAATTTAAGTTATTTAAGTGCCAGTTCTTAGGCGGAAAAATAGCTGTAAACTACAGAATTTTTGTAATTTATTGTAAAAAGCTAAACACAGGACATTTAGGACGTCCAGCCAAAGTCAATACAGGACGAAATCATTTCATATAGGACGTGTCTCGTATACATTGGATGCCTACTAACCTTAGTCACTATTGTTTTGGTTGTTAGGGGAATCTGCCCTAAAAGGTCCCGTACACGTCTGGGTCCTAGGAAGGGAGAGGGCTTTAAAAAGGCAGATGGAAACCATGGTTTTCCTAAGGGCTGCTCAGCCTAGGATCCAGGATCACTGGCCTGTTTAAGAGATGGCATAGCAGGGGCCACTATCCTCCTACTTGCACAGCCCAGGCTCCAGGTGACAGCCGATGGGGCAGTCCGTTAAGAGGCCGAGGTCTGAGTAGAGTGAAGCTGCATTAGTGCCGCGAAACCTCAGCCAGAGTCCGCTGAGGGTTGGAGCACAGGGGCGGAGGCACCCGGGGCGCCGGCCAGTGGCCACGCGGCAAGAGCCCGCCCGAAACCCCGCCTCCCTAGGTCACGTGGGGCCGCGCGGCGGGGACCACCGAGATGGGCGGCCTCCGGGCAGCCTAGAGGGGCAGTCGGTGCATGCGCTCGCTTCCGCAGCGGCTTTTAGGGACCCGCTTCTCTGGATTCGGAAGCAGAGCGGGTGGGTTCCGGCGAGTTGTATGTGCCAGGCTGGCCTGGTGCCGGCTTCCTCGCTTCCCTTGGCGGCTCATCAGCACCCCGCCCTGAACTCGCCTCTCTCTGACCCGGAGCTCTCCCGAGGTGGCTGCGGGCCTTCTAGAGCCCTAGTCCAGCCCTTTCCCACGGAGGCGTGATCCTCTTGTTTGTCCTAAAGATCTGGGCCCTACAGCCTCCCGCGCCCGGGACTGACGCTTCTGCTGTCTGGGGTCTCCTGCTTCCTTGGGTGGAGATCCTGGTCGGGTCTCCTGTCACCATCACCCACTGGAACACTGAGTAGCTTCCTCTTAATCCAAATCCAGCCACCCTTGTCTGTCCTCTCCACAGGCACCTTTTTTGGGTTCAATGTAATGGTCCCCAGAAGCGGTTTTTTTTTTTTTTTTAATTTAGATTTTTAGGTTTGTTCAGCCCCAGCTCTGCAGGGACAGGATTCACCTTGGGTCCCTCGGTCCGCTCGGTGTGAATGCGCTCAGTAACGCTCTTGGGCAGAACAGGCAGGTGGAGGATTGTCCCGAGGACCAGGCACAGCAGTTCATGAGGAGGTTGGGGTGATCAGCCAGAGGGGGCCTGACAGTCTCCTGCCAGTGCTGGAAATGAGAATGGGAAGGCTGCAGGCAGCTGTGGGTGACGCAGGACAGGGACTATCGCACTCATGGCTCTTATTCTCTTAGCTTTTAAGGTTCTTGCTTTTCCAAACCCAGAAGACAGTGCCCGGAGCCAGGGGACATCAGCCATGCTCCAAACCACTTGGCCTCAGGTGAGCTGAGCTTCCTTTCAGTCTTTAAGAAAATCACATTAGCTATCAGGTAATCAGGAAAGGACCAAGAAGGCCTAACTTGGCCAGACTGTGGTTTCTGCCTTGAGTCCATCTGCAGGGCTATGGTTGTAAATACGTGGTGGAGGAAATAAGAGTTTTTTGTGTGAAGAGAGGTGCATTCAGATGTATAGGTTTAAGTGGGAAGAAGGTAAAAGCCAAGAATTTCTCCCTGAATGTGGAAATCCAGATCATGTTCTACAAATAAAAGTTGTCTGAACAGGCATAGAAAACAAACTTGCCAAAGGGGAAAGGGAAGAGGGGAGGGATAAACTGTGAGTATGGGATTATAAAAAGAAAAACTTGCCTGCTGAGGTCAGAGAATTTTTTCACTAAAGAGATTGCCCTACAAATAGATGTATCCCAGAGAGACCAGCATTGTTCTTGCCACATGTGCTTTCTAAAGGCTAGCTGCATAGTACTGAATAATGCAGACAAGTTCCCTTTTCTCATGAAAGGTACTTTTCCCAAAATAGGCAGTCTGTAAACAAGTAAGTTAATACTGCAATTACATGTTGCTGAAGTACAGTACACTTCTCAAAAGTGTGATCCACAGTTGGGTGGCAGCAGCACCTGGGAGCTCATTAGAATTGCACATTATTGGGCCCCAGCCTAAATCCAGATTCAGACTGGGGAGGAGGGTAAGTGGGGTCAAGAATCTGTTGTAGCAAGCTCTCTAGGTGATTCTTATGCACCTTCTCAAATCTGAGAAGCCCCAATGAAGACACCTTCGAAGGTAGTGGTCAGGGAGGCCCTCTTTGAGGTCACAGGAGGTTGAGACCTCAAGGGTGAGGTAAAAACAGTCTTGAGAAGTACTGGAGAGAGAGGGGAAGAAGAGCTTTCCAGAGAGGATAGCATATACAGAGGCCCTGATCTGGGGAGAAAGCTGTGGGTATTCTGGGAACAGGGAGAGGTCAGAGGAAGTAGTTCAGTGTGAGGTGGGTCAGGTAGGCACATGTCTTGTAGGTCACTGTGAAGACTTTGGTTTCTGTTCTAGGTTCAGTAGGAGGATGCTAAAGGAGATTAAACAGGGGAGGTGAAAGGTTAGAATTATATATTAGAAAGGTTTTCAACTCATAGTGGTGAGTTGGTTACAGAAGAGTGTGAGTCAATTAGGAACTTAATCCAGTCCAGGTAAGAGATTAAGTATTGCCCATGCCCACTTTTTAAAATAGACTTTAGAGAAGTTTTAGGTTCACAACAAAACTGAACAAAAACCACAGAAACCCCATGTGCTTCCTGGCCCCACACATGCATAGCCTCCCCTTATCAACATCCCTCACTAGAGTGGTATATTAGTTACAACTGATGAACCCGTGTTGACATGTCATAGTCACCCACGGTCCATACCTTGCATTAAGGTTCACCCTTGTAATCTGTGGATTACAAATGTATAATGATATGTATGTATTAGCATAGTAGCATACAGAGTATTCTCACTGACTCTCAAAATCTTTTGTGCTCTGCCTTCCCTTCCTGGCAACCCTTGATCTTTCTGCCTTTTCCAGAATGCATACAGTTGAAATCATAGTGTGTAGTAGCCTTTTCAGGTCGGTTTCACTTACTTAGTAATACTCGTTTAAGATTCCTCAGTGACTTTTCATGGGTTTGACAGTTTGTTTCTTTCCATTGACTCATTGTACTACAGTTTATCCATTCACCTACTGAAGGACATTTTGGTTGTTTCCAAGTTTTGGCAATTATGAATAACTGCTCTAAACATCCTTGTGCAGATTTTTGTGTGGACAAAAGTTTTCAACTCATTGGGAAGATAGCAAAGAGCATGATTGCTGGATCATATAGTAACAGAATGTCTAGTGCTAGAAGAAACTGTTATACTGTCTTCCAAAGTGGATGTACCAGTTTGTATTCCCACCAACAGTGAGTTCCTGTTGCTCCACATCCTTGCCAGGGTTTGGTGTTGTCAGTGTTATAGATTTTAGCCTTTCTAATAGGTGTGTAGTGGGAATCTCATTGTTTTAATTTGCTTTTTTCCCTGATGGCATATGATGTAGAGCATCTTTACATATAATTATTTGCCGTCTGGATATCCTCTTTGGTGAGGTATCTGCTCCAGGCTTTTGCCCATTTTGTAATGGGGTTGTCCGTATACTTGAGTTATAAGAGTTCTTTGTATATTTTGCATAATAGTCCTTTATGATATATGTCTTTAAAAATTTTTTTTGTATCTGTGGCTTCACTGTCATCTCAGTTTCTTGAAGTATTGTCCTTTTAAGGTAGGGTTTAATTCCCCCCATCTTTTTTTTTTTTTAATGGAAGTATATAGTCAGTTTACAATGCCCCCCATCTTTTCTTTCAAATATATTTTTCCTTCAAAACCTTCTCAGCTAGTCTTTCACACTTACTTTTTTCAAATGATTATAATGATCCCCTACCCCTGCATAAATCTCAGTGATTTTTTTGGTGGGGGAGTGGATATTGATTTTGTAGAAAAATTGGGGATAATTGACTTGTTTACAAGTTTGATTGTTCCCATTCACAAACACTGTATATTCCAATTTATTCAGTTCTTTTATTTATTTTAATAAACATTTAGTTTTCTTCATCTTGGTCTTGCAAATTTTTATTAGGTCTGTTCTTAGCTATTTTCATATGAATGGAATCTTATTTTGTCCCATTCTGTCTTCTAATTGTTTATGGCGGTGGTATTTAGGAAAACAAATGATTTTAGTTTACTTATATCATATCTAGCTAACTTACGGAATTATTTTGTCAGTTTTAAATGTTTTTTTGTTTATTCTTTTGCCTCTTGGATTTTTTTAGACAGATAGTTATTTCGTCTGCAAGCAAAAATATTTGTTTCTTCCTTTCCTGTGTTTATGCCCCTTTTCTAGTCTTTCACAGAAAGTAGAACCTCAGTGCATGGTAAAGCATCAGTCGTCAACTTAATGGATGTGCTCTGACATTTCACTGTTAAGGTGGTATTTGCTGTTGTTTTTGACCTTCCTAAGTTTAAAACTTTTTATTTGTGGTCAAACCATTTTTGAAATTAGTTCTTTCAGCAAATTCATATTAATCATCTAGTATCAACCAGTAATGAACAGAACAGAATCCTTACCTCATGACTTACATCCTGGTGGTGGGAGAGAGACAATAAACAGTATAATTTATCAGGTGATGAAACATACTGTGAAGAAAAATTAAGTGTGGCACATAGGGACCATCCACAGGAGAAAAAAAATTTATCAACAACCTATCTTAAAACAGTAAGTTCCCCTTTAATACTAGATATTTTGAGGGGCTCATGAAACCTGGGGATATTTGATAGCAGATGGGAAGAGCAGTTTGGGGAGGGAGAGATGGCTGGTACTAGACTGGGAGGAGAAAGTTGTGAGAGTGCTTTGGAGATGCTGGGGAGTGAGGTTTGACTTACTGCCGGCAGAGGTGAGCTTTGGTTCACCTGTGAGCCTGTGGTCGCTGTCCTCAGAAGCCCTTAATGTCTTGTGGGAGCAGGAATTACTCACAAGACGTCATGGTTCTGTCTGGTGTTTGGATTCTTGGCTCAGACTATTTGGGGGTGGGGGTGGCGCCCTTTGGACCTTATTGTCCAGTTTAAGGGTCAGCTCTCCCTTGGAGAAGTCTCTAAATTTGTTCCTTTTCTTTCAGTGTCTCATTTTGAACTGAATTCCCTAGTTCTTGTTTGAAAAGTATCCCCTCCTAAGGACCTCAGTGTAGTGCCAGTAGAGCTGCTGGGAGCAGTTTGTGTTGCCAGAATTTATCCTTAGAGTGTGTTTCTTCCCTGCGTCCTCCGGGAACATCGTGAGAGCATTCCCTGCTCCCTGTCCCCTGTGCTGACTCCAGTGCACAGGCTGCTTTAGGGGCTGCCAGGAGAGAATGGGATACTCAAGAGTTAGGGGCTTAGCTGAGCCCCCACTGGTTGGCATTTTCATTTTCAGTGGGTGAAAAGAACAAGGCTGACTGCATAGGGTAGTGAGAGTCTCCAAGGAGATGGAATCATCTATGGGTCGTTAAGGCAAGACGGTGCAGAAATCATGAAACCCCTTCCAGAGTGGGAACCCAGGCTCTCCCTGGTCTGTGCTCTGCTGTCTGTAGAAGCAAAGAAAGTAGCCTGTGGGTGCCCTTAGAAACCACACTTGCATCTCATGGAAGAGGTGGAGGCTATGGCTCCTGGGATGGTGGGTGCGGTTTTGAAATAGTTGATCCGTCAGTCTATGGAGGAGGGGCCCATGTGGCCTGGAGGGAGCACAGTAAAGACGGATTGACAGGTGATTCAGGGAGTTGGGAGTCTGATAAGATGTTTTCCAAAGATGGCGCAGCACCGTGTGATGATGAGGTTTGTGTGTGAGCCACGTTTTTGGAGAAATTCATGAGCCCAGCGTGGGAGGTAGCTTGCTGTGTGGGGAGAGTCCAGGTTTGCTGTTTGACAGATTTGGGTTGAAATCCCAGCTCTGTCACTGCCTGGCTATGTGATCTTGGGCAAGGTAAGTAATTTTTCTGAACCTTTGTTTCATCCTTTGAAAAAATGGGAGTCCTAACTCCTACTTCCTATGTGTGTTGTAAAGAGTGAACAAAATACGAGATTTAGAAGTACCCACACAGGAGCCTGGTACCTAGGGGCTGATCTACAGATATGAGTTCCCTTCAGTCTTGGGAGGATGGAGGTGGCCCCAGAGGAGGCAGAGAGGGGCCCACTTTGGCAGGTGGGATGGAGCTCAAGATGGAGAGATGTGCCTGTGCCCAGGGACAGCGCACAGCCAGCCTTCTCTGAAGACAGATGGTTCTTCAAGAGAGCTAGCTTTCTGATAAGGTAAAAAGGTGTACAAAGAAATGTGTAAAATTCTGGGACTATTTCTAAGGAGTGGCTCCTCTGTGAGTAGTGGAAGATGTTGGGGAGGGCCAAGAAGCAGCTCGGGGCAGGGAACAGATGTGGCTGTGCACCTGTACTTTGGATGGGTGGAGACCTGGCACGTGGCAGCTGCCTGCAGTGGTTGGTATGCAGAAAATAAGGTGTCAGGTGATGGAGTACGTGAGGGTAGCAGGTGCTAGGGAGACAGATGCGTGGAGACAGGAGCATAGGGGTTGATGTAGTCACCAGGCAGGAGAGCCCTAGATGCCAGGCTATGAGGCTGGGATGACAGTTGGAGCCCGAGCCGAGCAGATGGGACAGCATTGGCAGTCTGTGTTTGTAGGTGGCAACACTAGCTGAGGGCTGACCCTGCTGGGGTGCTGGGTGCTCTTGTGCACAGAGCAGCTCTTCCATGGGGCTCAGAGTCTTGGACCCTGGCAGGTTCATCTCTTCCCTGCAGCTCAGACTGCCCACCTCTGACTCTCACTCAGAGCTTGAGCAGGAACCTGTTGTTTCAGGAGCCAGTGGCCTTTGAGGATGTGGCTGTGTACTTCACCCAGAACCAATGGGACAGCCTGGCCCCTGCTCAAAGGGCCCTGTACAGGGAGGTGATGCTGGAGAATTACGCAAACATGGCTTCCCTGGGTAAGATCTCTCTCAGTGGCCCTTTATGATAGTTTGACACCTCCCTTGGATGTTTTGGAGATTCCAGTAGCCCTTAGGTGTGATGGCTCCAGAGGGGTTTGCGACCAGCCTGTGGGGTTGCTGGGTAGGGAAAATCTCTGGTTCCCTTTGGCTTTGAAGTTGCACTTTATTACATCCCAGGGAAGAGTGTGGTTCTTCACCCTGAGGGTAGGGACTCTGGCAGGTGCCCCTGGGAGCCCTCTGTTTCTTCATCCTTCCAGTGTTGTGGGATGTGGGCCCTCTCCTTTGTGGAGGAGTCTCCCAGGATATTAGTACAAACATCCTTCCCAAAGGGATTTCTTTTCTTCTGAGTCAGTGCGAGCTTGCAGTTTCTTCCCGAGGAGAATCGCTGTCACCCTGGCCTTACCTGGAAGCGCAGTTGAGACCCCTTCCTCGGAACCCCTGAGAGGCCCGTTGGTCTCCCGGGCAGCCCACTTCTCCCCTCCCCAACTAGTCTGTTAGGGGTGAGCTGAGAGATCCCCAGAACGGCTCTGGGTGTCTCCCCTCAACTTGTCTGTTTCTTTTTCTTGATGGAGTAGCATTTCCATTCCCCAAACCTGTTCTGATCTCCCAGCTGGAGAGAGAGGAAGCACCGTGGGGCCCAGATCCCTGGGAAGCAGAGGTTTTGAGAGACATCTGTCCAGGTGAGTAGAGGACCCAGTGGTTCCAGGTTTTGCCTTCCTGGTCGACTAGAAATGTTTCTTTTGCAGCAGAGGGAAAAACTCCCTGTAGTTTCCCTCTGACCTCTGTTGAAGTCCAGCCCTGAGCCCAGAAGGACCAGTCCATGGGAGTGCAGGGCTCACGCGGTTGCACGTTTACACAGCTGTCCTCCTGCAGAAAATCTGACCCACTACCTCCGAAACTGCTCATTTTCTCACGTACCAGTGGAAGTATTTTACGTTATGCCAATTTTCATGGCAAAGAAGCAGGGTTTCAGCCATACTTCAAGGAAAATATGATTCTGTGGGTCAGACTGATTTATTTGTGCCATAACTATGATTTTATTTGCCTTTTTAGTGTTTAAATCATTTCTAGTATTTAAAAGTTCCTCATGCCATAATCTCGATAAGTCTTGTATTTATTTTATATGAGCGGTAGAGGAAAGGGCAAGAATATCCACCCCCACCCCCAGCACACACACCCCCACCCTAAAATTTCCCTGAGGCTGCTTACCAGTCCTGGGAGCTTTTGATTTACTTGGGTTTTTCTTTCCTATTGGGAAGAAAGTTTCCAGGCCTCACTTCTCACACATCCTGTGATTTTGTAAATAGTGGTCCCTTTAGCAGTAAAACTACAGTGGCCTACAGCTCTCCGATCAACTTGTGTTCCTGCTGACTTCCTGAAAGAAATAATCTTTTATCCCAGAATATTATGTGGGATATTTAAAAGTAGAATCTTTAGGCCATTATTTAGAATTCAGGATTTGGGGTGGTTTCCTGGCTTCCAGGTAGGGCACTGGGATCCCTTGTTTTCCTGGTTTGTGTTTCTGGACTGCTGGTCCTCGTGGTGCCCGGGCTGTTCTGTGGCTCCCCCGGCTTTTCTTCCCTCTGGGGTCTCCCTCTCTCTTTTAAAACCTGTTTCCATTTCCTGCTGATCCCTCTTTTCTCTCCCACTGTTTTCCCTTTCTCCCCTCCTGCCCCCTTTCCTTCCCATTCCTGCAGTTCTCATTCCGCCCATTTCGCCTGCCCTGGTTCGTTCCCAGCCTTCCGTACAGGAGGCACTTCCTAGTCTGTTTGCAGTGTCGTCACCTTGTTACCTCTCCATTTGTGTGTTACTGTTTTTCTCTCTCATCCTCCTTAATGGATACTTGTAGCCATCTCTTGGGTGGACTTAAAAAATCACATCCTACCAGGGAAAATCAGGCCCACTGGATCCTGTTTTCCTTTCAGTTCAGTAACAGGGAGCACTTGTGGTTTCTTTGGTCAGGTGGTGAGTCCTGGATCAAGACTGAAGAGCCAACTGTAAAGCAGGAAGCCCCTGAGGAGACCGGGTCGCACAGAATGCCGATGGGAGGGCTTCTCAGAAACGTATCTCAGCACTTTGATATTAAAAGCAAGGCAGCGTGGCAGACTTTCAGTCTGAATCCCAATCTGATACTTCGGGGTGGAATGAAGTTCTACGAATGTAAAGAATGTGGGAAAATCTTCAGGTATAACTCCAAGCTCGTTCGGCACCAGATGAGTCACACTGGGGAGAAGCCCTTCAAGTGTAAGGAGTGTGGCAAAGCTTTCAAGTCCAGCTACGACTGCATCGTGCACGAGAAGAATCACGCTGGAGAAGGGCCCTACGAATGCAAGGAGTGTGGCAAAGGTTTGAGCTCCAACACAGCTTTGACTCAGCACCAGAGGATCCACACAGGGGAGAAGCCCTACGAGTGTAAGGAGTGTGGCAAGGCCTTCCGCAGGAGCGCGGCATATCTGCAGCATCAGAGGCTGCACACCGGGGAGAAGCTCTATAAGTGCAAGGAATGTTGGAAAGCTTTTGGTTGTAGGTCACTGTTTATCGTCCACCAGCGGATTCACACCGGGGAGAAACCCTACCAGTGTAAGGAGTGTGGCAAGGCGTTCACTCAGAAGATCGCCTCCATTCAGCATCAGAGAGTTCACACCGGGGAGAAGCCTTACGAGTGTAAGGTGTGCGGGAAGGCCTTCAAGTGGTACGGCAGTTTCGTTCAGCATCAGAAATTGCACCCCGTGGAGAAGAAGCCCGTCAAGGCTCTCAGGCCGTCCCTGACGAGTCCCCAGTGCCCCTCTTCGGCCTCAACTCCGGTGCCTCTCCAGGGCCCACGCTCTGCTCCGGCTGTGGCCGTGCCTTCACTGACCTTTCCACACGCCGTGCTCATTCCTGCCTCTGGGCCCGTGTTCATGCTGCTGCCCACGTCCGGAATACCTCCTTCTCCCGTCCAGATAGTACGAGTCTTCCAGGGTCTTAATCCCACTGTGAAGCCTTCCCCAGTTATCCTGACCCCTCCTTCTCACCCCTCGTGAGCTTTATCTTGCACTTGACACACAGCATATCCTCAACCTAATTTGAGTTTGCGTCACAGTTTTTGCTCACCATACGTGTGTTACTACTGTTTCAGCACAAACTCCATTGTCATCTGTATATATTTAAAGACTGTGTTTATATAATATATTCTTTTTCTTCTGGGTAGACAATGGAAATCCTTGACCTTTGTATTGGTCCCTTTCAGGCTTGAGCGGTGATGGCTGTATCTGTGTCATGGGGGTGCTGGTGTTGAAAGTGCGGGCAGGACGCTGTGGTATATTAGGGGGTGTTGAGCAAGAGGACATCCCTGTAACAGGCCCCTGTGATTCAAGAGAGGCAGCCTGGGTGAAACAGAGGAGGCATTTTAGATCTGTCAGGGCTGGGAATTGGAATAACCTTCCAACAGCAGACTTTAGAAATGAACCAGTAAAAAAAAATGTATGCAGTGGTAACAGTCATTTATTTATATGCTAGCGATCATGTCCTTACACATGAAGTTTTCTTTTTTTAATCTTTAGTTTTGCTCTTGATATTTAGATGTTTCCTTTTAACTTTGGTTTTCTAAATAAGTATATGGCAAGGCATTCATCTTTGTTGCCTATGTTATGTGAATTTTTCTCGGTGGGCATTCTGGTTTCCTGTTTGCAAGCACTGGCTTCTGCATTTAATTTTCTCCAGATAGCATGAATAGGAATTTGGCAAATTTCTAAAGAAATAGGAGCAATAGATTTGGGGGAAATCTGAATAAGCCTCCAAAATTGTTTCTTAGGAATGAAGACGGCTGTGTAGCAGATCAGTGGCTAAGTGTACGTGGTAGGTTAGTGAAGTGGGAGTTTGGCGTGCTCTTGGCTCGTGACCATGATGAGGGTCTTGTACAGCTATGCAAAGAGCCATGTCAAGTGACTCCTGGGAAAAGAACTTGAGTTTTGCATGCCAGGCAGACCTTACAAATCAAAGGTTTGTGACAACACTGCGTTGTCAGATAATGGTTAGGATTTTTAAGCAATAAAATATTTTTACATTAAAGTATGTACCTTTTTTTAAGACAAAATGCTATTCAGCACACTTTATAGACTATAGCATGAACATAACTTTTATACACACTGGGAAACTAGAGAATACGTGTGACTCACTTTTGTGCTTTATTTCCTTTATTGTGGTGGTCTGGAACTGAGCCTGCGATGTCTCCTAGTTCTGCCTGTATTAGCACTAATATAAAGTAAATCCTTACCCGTTGATAAAAGAGGCCATACATTTTGTTTAAAGTTGCTTTTGCTAGCTACATATTTCTCCATTGCAATTAACAGAAAAGCCTTTAAATTAAACCTTACCCGTGTGTCTGATAACGTGGTGTAAAAAGTTATTTTCTGGCCTAAGTCCCAGAGATTCTGGTTTTGGACATCGGTAGTGATGCCTGTGATATGCCCAGACCTGTAGTGTGGACCACACTTGGAGAGAGGTGCCTTGAGCCGAAAATGGCGGGGGGCATACGTTGATAGAGAGCTTGCCTGTTTCTCAGTGATCTTCAGGAGAGAGACCTCTGAAAGTAGTTTGGGTGGTGTCAGTTTAGAAGAAGAGAGAGAATCAAGTGAAATAAGGCCTCTAGGGAAAACGAGAAGGGGGCAAAGAGATGTGATGTAGCCTGTGAAGAGTTCTTGAGGTCTCCACTGTCAGAAGGTTCATGGGGGTTGGCGTTGGCTACCTTTTGCTGAATTTGCTGTTTATTTGCATGTTGGCTGAGAGAATGAGGAAAATCCTTTTCTTATATAAAGTTCATAAACTTCAAAATAGCCCTTGGAGAGCACAGGATGGGTGCTGCAGATGATTTAGGACTGAACGACAGTAAGAACGGGGTCGTAGCAGGGTCTAAGGGGATATGGCAAAAGGTGGTACTCAGAGCGGTGTTTACAATCTCGAATGCATTCTTTAGAAAACAAGTTTGAAGTCTTGCAATTGAGAAAATTGGAGATGGTATTGGTGGCGGGAAACAAACAAAATTAACCAAAAACTAAAAATAAGCAAACGAAAAGACCAAAACAACCCCAAATAAACTTAGCAGAAATAAGATACACGACAACGACAAAGTTTGGTAGAGGAGGTGGTTGAGCACATTAGCGTTCACACCCTCCTGATACCCCACTGAGACAGTAAAGAGATTAAAAATGAAAAGGCATCAGCTGACGAGGAGCTTTCTGAGTCAGTCGTGCTGAGCCCCCGTACCCGTTTCTCATCAGCTGGGGCGCCACAGGACACTGTAATTCTGGCCAGTGACACGCAAGGGAGGGCTTGTGAGGGCTTTCAAGGAGTACATCTTTCACCATTAATGAATGAGACACATAGCAGGTGGCCTTCAGGTGTCGCCATGTCTGGACGTGGTGTTAGAGCTCCTACAGTCATTTCGTGAGCCTGAGGGGAGCCAGACAAGATGCATGGGGTGGAGCCCAGAGGGTCCCAAAGGAAGGGACGCCTGGTCACACCACCCCTCTTCTTTTCTTTTGCAATACCTTTGAAAGATACAATCAACATAAAATAATGTACAGTAAAAAAAAAACCCAGAAAATTGTACTCTTTGCCACCTGAATCCTTCATCCGGATGTTATTTTGAACAATTTGCATGTACATTTTTCTGATCTTTTTGCATATATTTATGTGTGTGTGTATGTATGTGTGATATTTTTATATATGTATGTATGTGTGTGTATACACGTACACACTCATACAGTTTTTTTTAAACCCCCAGTGGGATCAGACTATAGACCTAGTCTTCTCAAACTGGAACCTGGTTAAAATAATCTGGAGGACTTCATAAACGTGATTACCTGGTGCCATCCCCAGAGATGGCCACACTGCGGAGGATTACAGCTCAGTCCTCCCCAGTCCCAGTGGACAACTCATCTGCAGTCCTGCCACCTCAGACCCTCTGAATATGCGTGACTCTGGTCCCCATCCCTCCCATTTTGCTTTCCAGTCCTGGGAGAACAACTGTCTTCACTCTAGAGTCCCCTCCTCCACCAGAAAGGCACAAAGCCTGCATTGCATCCTCTCCCCAGTCTAGTTAATTCCCTCAAAAAATTTATACTTTTAACAGCAAATGCCTATTTTTAGATATTATTTTCATGTTAGACTGTGATTCTGATTTGCACTTCCTTTTTTCAAAAGAATCACAAACACATTTTAACTACACCCACAGGGAGAGAAAAACCCAGATTTTAGTATCTGAGATATCTGGCTACTCTCCTGGGAGAGGAAAAAGTTATATTTGCTCCTTGATGATTGACAGCAGCAAAACCAAAAAAAAAAAATCGCAAGCCATTTTTCTTAATCACCCTGCTATATATCACATCCACAGTATTCCAGATGCTGCTGTAAGCTCTGGGAAGTCGTCGGATGAGCCTTGGCATAATGTTTTCTGCCTTGTCCATGACTGATTGACCATGTTCTTCACAACATATTTCCCCCCTAAATGACTGCATACTCATTTCATTTGATTTTCTGCCTACCCTCCAAACCTAGGTCCGTTATGGAGACAATGAGAAACAAGCTGGCAGAGGCCTCCAGGGAACATCAGCAGACCGGAATCTAAAGTGATAGCTGCTTCTTAGAGACAAACTTCAGCACCTTTCCATGCAGAAGAACCCCCAGGGGGTGCTTCCTCTTGCTCCTGCTGCTGGGGCTGGAGAACAAGAGGAGCAGCTACCATTTATTCTCTAGCTGCTTTCAGCAGGTACAGGGCAGGTTTATTTTCTCCTCCTCACAGAGGTCACAAGCGAGAGCACGGATCCTGACTGGTGTCGGACTGGAGGTGGCCCCTTCTCCTCGTGACTCCAGCACCACCTTCTGGCTGGGCTTCCTGTTTGTGCTCCAGGGAGCCTACCACGTGACCTTCATCTACTCTGCCATCAAGGGCCCTATGACAGGAAGTGAGCGGCTGGCAGGATGGCCGGGCAAGGCCGCCAGCTGGGGTCCAGTGTCCTCACGTTCACAGGGGGCCCTTTTTGGACCCACACCGTGCTCCATTTCCCTCAAAGGAAAAGTCCCTCCAGTTTCCTTGAGTCCCCAACCCCCTCAGGAGTTTGCTCTGAAAGTTTGTGCTTTGCAGGCCTGGGGCCCAACACCTGGGCCTGGGAAAATCTCCATTTGCCTACCTGTGTCTTAACTTACTCTTGGGCCCTGGGATGCTGGGTTGGGCTTTTTTGTGCTGATAAAAGGATAATTAATTAAAAAAAATTTACCTTGTAAAATGTCCCCCGTCTTGATTTGTATAGTTACTTCCTCTGGGTATTGACTTGTTTCTCTCTTCTCTGTATTTTCTGTGTCCTGAAAGTTTGTCCAGAGGTTTGGTTAGGTTCTGGAAAATACTTCTGATAAAAACATGTTATGGTGATATTGTATCTTTCACACTGCATTTCAGGGGGCACTTAATGCCAAGACGCTCTGCTATTAATGATGCTAAGTTTGGTCATGTGGTTAAGGTGGTGACCGCTGGATCTTTCCATTGTAAAGGTACGTTTTTCTCTTTGAAATCGCTGTGTCATTTATGGTGTGATGCTTTAGCATCATGCTAATTTCTTATTCCCCAACAACCTTTTGTCTAATGGTCTCAGAACCCATTAATGATTTTTGCCTGAATTGACCACTGGGGATTACAAGAGAGTGCTTTTCTGATTCTATCATTTCTTCTATGTTTATTAGCGAGCATTCTTTGTAAAGAAGCCTTTTTATCCTCTTTTACTCTGAGTATCACTGTGGACTCATGTTTTTTAAAAAAACTATCATTCAGTGTATTATAATCAATTACAGTCATTATTATTCTTCTTAAATTATCTCGCATTAGCCACTGGGAGCCCTTTCAGTCTGGCCCCTGTGTCCGCTGATCATATCCTAATTAGTCATTAAACATTTTTGTGCTTTCTGGCTGCTACTTCACAGTCCCAGTCCTGAAATCAGCCGTTTCTCCAAGGAACCCTGGTACAGGGAGTAATATTTAGAGACTGAGAGCTGGGAACTAGATGTTTTGTGTTAGCTTAAACATGGATTGTCCAAAGCTGAGATTTGATACATTTAGTCTAGTTCATGGGTGTCGGGCTGTTGGACTTTTTCGTGGCTTTCCAACTCTTTCTTTATGTGGAAACTCAAACTGAATGATAAGGTAGGTATCTGTGAACTTGATGCTGAAAGATGGTGATCAAAAGGCATCGATTACTGGTTCTCATTTGAACTTGGAGCCTTCATGGTGGATTTTTTTGGTTTGTTTTGCTTTTATAAGGAAAGAGTAAATAATCTATGATTGGCTGATATGTCTACCTCATACAGCTGTCTCATTCCAAATAACTGGCAGAGTGCCTGACATGTTGAAGGCCTTCAGTAAGTGCTTTTTGAATAAATGAATTACTAAAGCATCTTTGTATAAATAGTTATTGCCTTCAGCATAATTCAAGCTGTAACTTAATGTCACCAGAAGACTAAGCAGTAAATATATAGAATTCATGAGCTATAAATTGTAAAATAGCCCTCACTATATATTAAAATACAGACACATAATATCTACAGATCCCAGTTGGTTTATATGTTGACAGAGTACTCCCACAATGATAAGATTACTTTAAGGACATGCAGAAAAGATGATCTTAAAACATTAAGCAAATGTATATTAGTAAATAAGTGCTTGTCATTCGCAAAAGGGAAATGAACACCATGAGAAATAGCAAGTTTAGTCTTGGCTTGTTAGTGGGGAAGGGAGCAAAAGTAGGCATTGTTTACAAGTTTATTTTACTTGTACCTAGAATTTAAGCAAGTGATATTTCTAAGAAAAAAGTGGTATTGTTACCTGAGAGAGCACAACCTTAGCCATGGATCAAAGGGAAAAAGCAAAGGTGATTTGAGTCATTTTAGGTCCTATAGCTGGACCCAGAAAGCAGTTCAGTTTGTTCCTACTGGGATCAACTGAGAATTCTCACTTTTTCTGGTATGATAGTGAGCCAGAAAGGGGATAAGCCCTGTTCAGATCTCTACCCTCAGTTTTACCCTATTTGAAAAAAGATTCACCAATTATGTACTAACAGTTTCCATATTTGGTTTATCGTTTTACACACACACACACACACACGCACATGCACACACACGCACATGCACATGTACACATACTTTTTTTCTGAACCATTTGAGGGCAAGTTGCAGGCCTCATGTCTCTTCACCCTTAAATATTTCCCAAGGTTTGTCCAAGAGCAAGACTATTTTCTTATATAACCTGAACATAGTTGTAAAATTCAGGAAATTTAACATTGATCCAATACAGTTTTCTAATTTATAGCCTATATTCCAACTTCACCAATTAATACCATTAATGTCATTTATGGCTATTTTTATTTCTAACCCAGAATCACACATTGCATTTAGTTTTCACGTCTCTCTGGGGTCCTTTAATTTGGAACCCTTCTTCAGCCTTTGTCTTTCGTAACTCTGGCATTGTATACCTTGGGTTTCTATGATGTTTCCTCATTATTAGATTCAGATTGTGCATTTTGGCCAAGAATATCCCAGAAGTGATACTGCATTCTTGCCAGTGCATTTTATCACAAGGCACACGTACATTGTGGGTGGGTTTCACTATCGATGCTGTGAATGTTGGTCATTTGGTTAAGGCAGTGTCCATCAGATTTTTCCACCATTAAGTTACCGTTTTCCCTTTTGTAATTCATAAGCACTTTTGTGGGAGATATTTTGGGTTTATGTAAATAGGCTGTTCCTTTCTTGTCTGAATAGTCTAATTTTTAAATATAGATAATATTTATCTCTCTCTCTCTTTCTTTCTCTCTCGTCTGTAGAGCATAAGACAGAACCTGCGTCAAGTCTTATAATTCTACTAAATTATGCTTGGCAGTGCAGTGGCTGCAGAATGCCAACAGACTTCAGACTATTAATTCAGTAGACTGACAAACAAGCCAATCAGGTGAAAGCTGCCATATATTTTTAAACAGAGCCATAAACAACACCAGGGGAAGAAAAAATAAATTCAGGCTGAGACTGGAGCTTCAGAGTCCTCCAGTCACCATTGTCCTGCTACTCAGAGCCAGGCCAGCCTTGACTGAGATGACCCTCCAGGTGACCCGACATTATTCTTAGAATTAGGATGACCCTCCATGTCTCTGTTGAGTTACTGGATGTTAATTTACAAAATGCACTTAGTTTGCAAGGCTGAGGTTCTTCCCTGGAGAAGCTTTACCTCTTCATGAAGAACCCTTAGGCTGTAAGGGAAGCACACTGGTCACCTCCACCCTGGTGCCCTCCAAGGCCTGGTAGTGACGGGCAGAGAGGTCCTTAGCTTCACTGGAACAGCTGGGTATAGGCTTCCTCCAGCTCACTGCATATGGTGCATTTATGCCTCTCAGATCAGAACATTTGTTTCACATTCATGGGTCCTGTATGGTGCGGATCCTTGACGCACCTCAAGGAAAAATGGTGATTCAGAATGAAGATCCCAAATTGGGCAATTTGTTAGTGACAAACTTCTGCTGGGCTTTTCTCAGTATCTGTGGCTCCAGGACAGAAGTATGCTCATAGCTAAACAACAGTACAGTTATTTTCATTCATTTCTTCACTGTCGATGAAAATTCGTGCCTATGGGCCTACGTGGAGATGTATGTACAAAGAGAAAGTCCATAGCATTAGTCATAAAGAAAACTGATGGCCAGAGTAAATATTCTTTAAGCTAAGAAATAACTATTATGATGGCAAGAGGCTAAACCTACTTTTACTGAAATATAATTAATAGACAATGAAATGCACATAACTTGAGCATTTGATGAGTTTCGACAATTATATTCAGCTGTGTGCCATCACCAAAACAAGATAGAGAATATTTGAATCATCCCAGAAAATCCGCTCCTGTTCCCTCCAGTCAATACCCACCACCCAAAAGCAGGCACTGTTCTGATTTCCATCACCATCTCTCCCTGCAGGGTATTCCAACCACTGTTCTAACTTGTGTCCCAAAAGGTTGGTTCTACCTGCTTTTGATCTTCATGTAAACAGAATCATCCTCTTTTGGGGTCTAGTTTCTTGACTCAACGTGTCTGTGAGATTCATCCATTTGTTTGTTTGTTTTTTAAAACTGCAATGTAATATTCTCCCAAACTATTTTGAAGCAAATTCCAGACGTCATTCCATTCATAAATATTGCAGTAGGTAACTCTAAAAGACAAATAATTTTAAAAGACCCTACACTATCAGATCTAAAAGAAATCAGCACAGACGCTCTGACATACTTCTGATCCTCTGTTAGATGTTGGTG